CTAGAACTCATGACAATGTCTCATGCAGGCCCACTTCACAGATCTATGCTGGAAAGGCGCAGAGGTCAGTGGGGGAAGCTAGGAAGTATGTGCCAGCAGGATGAAGGACCTGTGCTAGCAGGCTGAGGGATCTGAACCGGAGCCAGGAAGCGATGCTCAAAGTAAGCACCTGAGCTCCCCTGAAAAGTACCGCAGATGTCCTCAGCAATGGTGAGTCCTGAGCTCCTCCAGTGATGAGGAAAGTTGAATTCCTGTCAGGAAGGCCAATGCGACAAGCTTCTCCATGAGGCTGAGTGGTGCACCATCTTTCCCTCCAGAGTCAGGAAGTGATGCTCAAGATGAGAACCAGAGCTTCCCCAAAGGGAATTGTAGCCATTCTAATCGACAACGAGGTCCTGAGCTCCTCCTCCAATAAGGGCAGCTGGATTAGCTCATCAGGAAAGCCAGCATGACAAGGTCCTCCAGCAGAATAGTCCAAGAGAACCAGCAGCTTCTAATAGGTCCAATAGCTTCTTCAAACAGCTTCCCTAGCAGCCTCCCATCAGCTTCTCCAGCTCTGCCTCTTATACTGCGGGTACCAATCCTCAGGCCTCCCACACCACACTAGTTCAATTCACTAGGTGTAGCAGGTTGACTACCAGTTAGCAATACACTATAATGCCTTTTGTAACATGTTTTTTTTGTCTTTTTGCACCTGCATTATTCTATTTTTAAATTAACTCTATGGAGAAAAAATTGCAATGTGACAGTTTCAAAACAGGTTAGTAGGAGAGTTACAACAATTAATACATTTCATATTGTTGTCTTTGTAGTAGTCACTCATAGCGCAAGATGCAGACATGATATCCTGTCCAAACACTATCTTTTTTTTAAAAAAAAATTATTTGTGTGTGTGTGTGTGTGTGTGTGTGTGTGTGTGGCCAGCTCAGCCTACCAGGGGGCGGGGCTGGCTGGCATGTGGTGCTGGGGGATTGAACTGCGGTCCCTGTGTTTTGCTAAGCTTGTTCTAAGTAGGCGCTTTAGACCACTGAGCCATCTCACCAGCCCCACAAATCTTTCTTCTTATTGAATTAAGAGAAAGTAGCTATATATCTATCCTATTTTGTATATACAGATACAAAATTGTCCTTCATTTATATCACCTTTTTTTGTTCAGTTTTGTCAGAGATTGGTATTCCATTGCCATCCAAATATTGTAGGTGCATGAATTCAGCAAAATATTCCAACATAGTCCAGTACTCCACAATAGTAGTGGATTATCTACAGGACTGGTAATGTCTGAATCTGATGACTTGAGCCTTCCACAGCTCAGCATATTAACATGGGTTCACTTTTCATACCTCGTTTCTACACTTTTCTGCTGGATGGTTAAGACCAAGATAAAGCAAGACTTATATAACAAAGAAGGTAACTTTTGCATCTGACATGGTCAGTCAAGTCCCCTCAGGACTTATCTCAAAACCCTGTACCACATTTTGTAGATCTTTTTTGTCAGTGTCAGCCATGTGGATGAGTCATGGACATTGCTTGACCAATTTGCTCTCTGAGAAAGCCTGAGAGAATGTTTTCTCTCCATATGACTCTCTTTAGACACACACTACATCATTGATCACATTCCGCTGTGGCCCCATAATCTCCTTGATCAGAAAACTTGGGGCACAACTGAGTTACATGATGATAATTTATCATTTAATTTAATTAATTAATTTATTTTTTGGTGGAACCGGGGATTGAACTCAGGTCGCCCTTGTGCTTGCCAGGGAAGAGCTTATTCTACTGAGCCATCACCCTGGCCCCTTTGAAACATGTTTTAAAATGTAAACATTCCTGACACAATTTTGATAACCCCTTATATATGGTAGGGGTGGTTATTTTTTGCCAAGGCAGATTTTAAAAAAATACACTATAATAATGATTGTATCTATATTTGATGTATTTTTACAATGGTTGCTTTTTCTAGATAAAGCCATATTTAGTGTTTATGTGTTAGCACAATGAAGACTAGTACATCTTTCCAGGGGATATTTCTTTTAAACTCAAATAATGACTTCACTAATATTTTCATTAAATAACATTTTTATGACTAATATTTCAAAACAAATATTGGAACAGTAATTTTATTTGGAAAGTACTCTTTTTTCATTCCTTTTCTTCTAAGTGTTCTGGATCAGTCATTTTTAAGTGTGTATTTTACAAACAGGGTACAATTGTGTTTTGTTTCTGGTTAATTATTGTCTTTTTTAATGGAAAATTTAATCCATTTACTTTCACTTTTTTCTACTTTAAACATTTGACTAAATACAATTATATATATTCATGGAGGCTAATGTGCTATTTTGATTCATGAATGAAAATGCATTGATTAAATAAAGAGAATTTTCTTCTTTTTTTTATTACAGCATTTTCCACCTCCTATTTTGAAACATATAGCAAATTACTCCAAACCACCCTCACTGGCTACCTTATTTTTGATACTGGACTTATTTGGAATCACTGCTAATACTCCATTTTTCCTCCTACACTGCCATGCCTTTCTTCTCCTTTTGTGGCTTCCTACATGCCACTGAATTGATTTTTTAAATTATTACTTTTATAATACATTTAAAGTTATAAAATATGTACCCAAAGTGAGAACATATGACCAATTCATGATACGTACCCTTCTAGAAACAATACAAGGGTATTAGAATGCTTTATATTGGGACAATTTCTTTCATCTTCTAGAATTACTGTTTCATGTTTTTTGTTTAACAACTTAAAATACTCTCAATTACTTTAAAATTTCTTTTTATTTATTAAAGAATCTCAGTTACTTTTTACAGCTAGTATATTTATTTAGATTAATTTACATTTCTACTTCTCTTTTTATGCCATTATTACTTCTTGCATATCAAACTTTATAGTTCAATCTTATTTCAACATATATTTTACTAGTGATTCTTTCAGGAAGCATCTATGAATTATAAAGCTTCTTAGTCTTTGTTCAGTGTTTTCACTTGTACAAAAAATGTTTATCTGAGTAGTTTTAAATTGGGGAGTGGCCAGATAGCTCTGTGGATTAAAGCACCTGCTTAGGCAGATGCAGGAGCCAGGGTTTTGATCCCTGGCCTGCTGTGCTGGCCCTGCCCACAAGGCGGGGTAAAATGGCAACTGAGACTGGGAATGGTGACATGAGCCTGTAATCCCAGTGCTTGGAAGGCTGAAATCAGGAAAGATCACTACAAGTCCAATCTGTGTAGTGAGACCCTGCACAAATACATTACAAAAATTAATAAATAAAAAAATTGGGAGTTATGGCAGGCACAGTAGCTGAGTTTGAGGGCAGCCTGGGATTCATAAGGCAGTTCAAGGCCAGCCTACCCTACAAAACAAGACCCTGTCTCAAAACAAAAAGCAAAAACAAAAACAAAAAACCACAAAAGCAAACAATAAAAAATACTCCCCCATAAAACATCAAAAAAAGAAGTTATTTATACTTCAGAACTAGGTAATTATGAAGGTGTTATTCTACTGTTCTATGATGCATATGGTTGCTAATGAGAAATCTATCAATCTGTAGAGGCAGCCAATCTTCACCTCTACTGTCTTAGCCTTTTTGGTTAGTCCTGAATTAAATTGACATAAGACAGACCAGCATAAAGAAAGCTTACAAGTTTACTACACATTTTACCTGCTATGAGAGCCTTCATAAGGAAATGAAGATCCAAAGACCGTGAAGAGTGGAGCAGTTATATAGGAAACTGGTCAGAGTAGTAAACTGAGTGAAAATATGACAGCCTTTACTAGTTAGTACATTTAAAAAAATTACTCCAAATTGTAAATTTCAAAAAATTATGGTAAGAGGCTGGTGAGATGGCTCAGTGGTCTAAAGCGCCTACTTGGAACAAGCTTAGCAAAGACCATGGACCGCGGTTCAAACCCCCAGCACCACATGCCAGCCAGCCCCGCCCCCTGGTGGGCTGAGCTGGCCACACACACACACACACACAAATAAATAAAATAAATAAATAAATAAAAAAAGACAATATTTATTAAAAAAATTTATGGTAAGCTATCACTGTCTCACCCTTACCACTTAGTAACTTACCAGTGTACAATAAGCTTCTTTTTTATCTTGTTCATAACTTAATCCTGTTACTCTTCACTTTGCATGAATATCAGATAATCACGTATGTTCCTGTACATATGGACTTATAATAAACTTTCAGATTTAACTTGCTTGGTGACATTTGGCTTCCTCCCATGTTACCTTACCATTTTGAAACTATGGCTCTGGGAAGAAAGTCCTTTCTGGAACATTCTTTCGGGCAGCCATGAACCTTGCCAACCTGTCTGAGGTAGGATTGCCCACACTAAGCTAGAAGCATCTAGACAATATCTACTTCTCGTGATCCCATCAGTGTATTAGTTCTCTATTCGGGAAACTAAGATAGAATTACTTTCACACTGCCTCCAAAACCAAACATTGTCAATGCTACAGTACTTTAAATTGTTTTCTCCCAAGCCCTCAAAAATGTGAACTAAAGGTGACACTGCAGCCGTTATGGGCTTGATATGTACATGTACCTTCTGAGAGCAGTCAGCTGGAGTGGAGACCCCCTGATCCCAGCATGCTTCCAAGTTGGGTAACAGCAATTTTGTTCTGTGTCATTGCTAGGGATGAACCACATCTCAGCGCAAAAGCTGAATTTAATCCCCCAGCACTACCAAAGCCAAAAAAATTCTAAAGGAGGTCCACACTAGCAGGAGTCCTAAGTCCACGGGTGTATGGGGACTTTTCACAGCACCTGAGACTTAGGGACCGATAGCTAGTTATTGGACTCAAGTTCATGAGAATTAAAACGAATTTCAATCATGGGCTTCTGAAGGTTCACACAACTACAAGCCTTTCCGGCCTGTGCACAGCCTTCTTTCTGTGAATTGTGGGTGGCCCTGAAAAGGGCCTTTTGTGTGGCTTTCCTTCCTAAAGTTTTGATCACTCAGACTTGTCACTCTGGGGATCACTTGCAGTGGATCTTGTGGTGGTGGCTCTCGGTCTTCTTGGGCAGCAGCACGGCCTGGATGTTGGGCAGCACGCCGCCCTGCGCGATTGTGACTTTTCCCAGCAGCTTGTTGAGCTCCTCGTCGTTGCGGATGGCCAGCTGCAGGTGGCGCGGGATGATGCGCGTCTTCTTGTTGTCCCGCGCCGCGTTGCCTGCCAGCTCCAGGACCTCGGCCGTCAGGTACTCCAGCACGGCCGCCAGGTAGACCGGGGCGCCGGCCCCAATGCGCTCCGCATAGTTGCCTTGCCGGAGCAGGCGGTACAGACGACCCACAGGAAACTGTAAGCCTGCTCTGGAGGAGCGAGACCTGGCCTTAGCACGGGTCTTGCCACCCTGCTTTGAGCGCCCAGACATCCCTCTGGAAGACACCGAAGAAGGAGAGATGTGTGCGCCAGTGACCGTTACTGGGCTTATTTATAGTCTGATGGCAGGCTGTGATTTGACAGTTGGATGGCGGTTCAGCCAATCGTAAAAAATCTTACTGGAATCACCTCATTTGCATACTGGTCATTTCCATTATCCAATCAGCTAGTGGGTAGCCATACTCATTTGAATGCCACATCTATAAATACCACTCTTAACGGATCCTGGGGGCCTTTGCTGACTTGGTTTTGCCTTTGTTCACAACCTGGCGTTCAATGTTGTAGAGCTGTTCACTTAACAATGCCGGAGTTAACTTCAAAGGTTGCCACAATTTCCAAGAAGGGCTTCAAGAAGGCTGTCATTAAGACTCAGAAGAAGGAGGGGAAGAGGCGCAAGAAATCCCGAAAAGAAAGCTATTCCATTTATATTTACAAGGTGCTAAAGCAGGTTCATCCAGACACGGGCATCTCCTCAAAGGCTATGAGCATCATGAATTCCTTTGTCTCTGACATATTTGAACGTGTATCTGGTGAGGCGTCGCGCCTGGCGCACTACAACAAGCGCTCAACCATCTCATCACGGGAGATCCAGACGGCGGTTAGGCTGCTGCTGCCCGGCGAGCTGGCCAAGCATGCCGTGTCCGAGGGCACCAAGGCCGTCACCAAGTACACCAGCTCCAAGTGAGATGTCTAGCTGACCTTGCCTCCAAACCAAAGGCTCTTTTAAGAGCCACCTACGCTTTCTGAAGGGGCTGTGTGCTTGTTACTTAATAAACCAGACAGATTCACTCTCAGTATGCTCCTTCTGACTCGCGGTTCCTCCACGGTGTGCAGACTTCCTGATTAATCCAGTGGCTCTTCAACAGGGTACGATAGTGACACTGAATACGCACAGGGCTGAGGATGTAGTTCTGGTAGTGCTTGCCTAGAGTGTGTGAGAGCCTGGTTTGCATCCAGAGCAGAGACAAAAAAGTTTACAGTTTGTTGATCGGCTAGCCAACTTGTTGGATTTCAAAAACAAAGACAAGGTTTTCTCACTGCAGTGCCTACCTGTTATGAAAACAACCGTGTAGAGGGGCTGGTGAGATGGCTCAGTGGTCTAAAGCACCTACTTAGAACAAGCTTAGCAAAGCATGGGGACCGCGGTTCAATCCCCCAGCCCCACATGCCAGCCAGCCCCGCCCCCTGGTGGGCTGAGCTGGCCACACACACACACACATACACACACACACATTAAAAAAAAACAAAAAAACAAAAACCCCCAAAAAACCGTGTAGAGACCCTAGAAAGATGTATAGGTGATCCCCTGAGCTTTAGGACTCAAATCCCTTCTAGAACCATTGACTCTGACCACTCCAAACACCAGTCAACACAGAGCTAGGAAGAAAATTAGCTTAGCCTTAATTCTCCTAGGTCAGACTTCTCTAAGGTCTTCCCAGGTCAACAGCTGCCAATCTTTGGGCTCAACTACCTGATAAAGAGATGAGCTTGAAACGGTGAAGCTCTGCTGTCCATGGCGCACATCATGGAGACACCCACTCAGAGCTGCGATTGTATGTAGGGCCCTCTGGATTGCTTCACTGGAGATTTTGAGATGAATTCTCATTAAGTGTGAAAGCTGCTAAATCCATGCACTCTGTAGAACTAGTGTAGTCATCTATTCTGCTTGCTTTATAATGGAATGTAAAAGAAAATGGCTTAAAATAGAGCAAACACACTTGATTAAGTATGTCTAAGCAACAAAGTTTGTGATCTTTGCCCGGTGGCTGAATAGTTTGACTCAGTGCTGGTATATTCAGTGACTGACTGGGTGCTCTCAGACCCTGGGTGCCTGGCCAGGTTCCCCGTCAGCAACAGCCACTTGCTGCCTGGCTGTCCTGGAGGTGCACTTAGAGGTATCCCACGCAAAAGAACTCACATAAGGCAGTGGAAGAGATCTGGAATTGGGGCACACGGGCTGCGGTACCTAGATGTAAACATCTCTCTTGCTGGCTGGTCCTGTGCTTACTTGAGCCCCCTTCTTCTGGTCTTAATGTCCTCCTTCTATAAATCTTAGTGCAGTTGTGTGTAGCCTGGTGCTAGGAAAAAAAAAAAAAAAGATATTCAAGATGTGTTGGTTGACTCAAAGGGAGGTGTGGATAGTATGCAAATGATGGCTTAAAATCATCCCATATGTGATTGGATACTGGCTTGCATATAAATGAGAGAAAACTGAGGTTTTTTGATTGGATGGTTTAGGGTAGGCAGTGAGATGAGCCGCAATCTGCACTAAGGCTGCAAACTGCCATAACGGTAATTTTTCTTTTTTTTGTTACGTCAGAATCTTCTGAGCTCTATCTCAGCGCGTAGGGGCGCGGGCTGAGCCCTAGTTTCTTTGGCGCCCATCGTCCACTTCCAGCTCTGCGAGGGCTGCTCTATAACTAGGGTCTTGGCATTGTATCTTGTCTCTGCGTTTCTGGAGCTGGCCGGCAGCGTGGCAGACAGACTCAGCCCTCCCTTGTCATCTTCCGTGAAGCTGCCTAAACAATAACAAGCTGTGTTGGGGCGCAGAGTGTCCACGACTTTGGGTCCAGGCTGTGCTGCTGGCCAGATACTGGATGTCGTCACAGCCAAGATCAGCGTGATGAACGTTCTGAATATTATTCAGACCAGCGAGCGACTGGAGGGGTCTGGAAGGAAGGAGCGCCGCATTTACCAAGGGGTTACACAGGGATTAGTCAAGTATAATCCACTGCAGCTTTCTCAAAGGAGCAGGATACAGAAGGCCTAGGGTTGGATCCTTATCATGATAAAATTAATTTAAAAAAATTAAAATTAACAGGGATAAACTAAGATCCATCTAAGAATACAAGATTGCTTGTTTTTTTTTTTTTTTTTTTCCTTTTTGAGATAGGATCTTACTTCGCAGTTCAGGCTAGCCTCAAGCTTACTTTGTGGCCCATGCAGCGAACGTCCTGCCTCAGCCTCCTGAGTGCTGGGATTACAGGTGTGCACCCCCACTACTTGCATTTTAAAAAAAGAACAAACTTAATTCACAGCATAAAGTTAGAAGAAAACTTAACCTTATTAAGCTCAAGCTCAATAGATGTTTATAAAGGCACTTGCTAATCTATTTAGCTGGGTAATTTTTGTTTTTCTTTGTGGTGTGCTAGTATTTTTAGTGAAAATATTCTCATTACTATTATTTAATGTTGTTATAGATTCTTTAACAAAATATTTAATTTTGAGGCACTAAAAGGAATAATAGAATCAGATACAAGTAACCCATTCAGAGGAATGCCCCACAGCTAACTATGAAATAATACTGGAAATCAAATCTCTACTCAGACAAATCCACACTTTCTGAGAAGGAACTGTTCTCATGTTTCAGTAAGTTATGTTCAACATAATAATTGCAGCCTCTTAAAAATGCTAGTGTTTATCTTCCTAACTTTGTACAAATTGTATTAGATAAGACAGTAAGTTAAAGTAGAAGTTAAATTAGCAGTGAATGGGGTTGGGGAGATAATGAGGACCCAGGTTCAATCCGGGTGCAGTATGTGGTTTAAAACCTCTCAAGACTGCTACATAGTTTGTACATTTTAATTGTACAAATTAAATATGCTCTAACATGGCCTGTTGGGCAACACACCAAACAAATGAGATGCTTTGCTCCTCTGAGAGATTCCTTGGAAACATCCAATCTGGGAACAAAAGAAAAGAACAGGAGCAACACATACAATTAAAATGTACAAACTGTGTAGCAGACTTGAGAGGTTTTAAACCTTTTCTATGTGCCTATGTCATGCTCAGATATACATAGATAACCAACAGCTAAAGTGCATGTTCGAAACAATATGCTGTTGTGGAAGGCTTCTGAGGTGACTATTCTAAGCTATTGTTCTTTTCCTGTGTGTCCTATACTAGATCAACTCATGACTTTCTGTTTGGAACATGACTAGGGTGATAGGAACGGTCACCAGTGGAGAGTACTCAGCACGCAGGGGTCAGCCAGTAAAGCAGCTATGCTCGCTGGCTGCCCATTGGCCCGGAGCCTAGCAGTACTCTCCAAGCTAAGTTAGTAAAATCTTCTGGCTATTTTCAGACCTGGAGGTTAAAGGGACACATTACAGGGGTGCTGTACAATTCAGAGACTTTAGAAAAGTAATCCTGAGCTTCCAGTAACTGAATCTCTAGCCCTTGGAGAAAATGAAGATCAAACCAAAGGGCCCATCCTAAAGCCAAGGATAAGTGTCCTTATCATCAAGGAATGCAAAGGATTCCTGGCATCCACAGGAACAAAGCAGGAGGTCCAGGTCTAAGTCTTCCTCAGTAGTAAAGAACTAGTCCTGATAAGAGTTGAGATACAATTGACAAGGAACAAGTATCTAGCACATATGCAGAATGCTCAACTATAAACATTGAAAAATTCTATTAAAAATGAATGAAAACCAATAAGGCACATTTTCATTAAAAAAAGACATATTTCTCTCCATGGAAGGGTGTTTATACATACATATATATCACATAGAAAAGCAAATTAAAACCACAATGAGATACCACTTCCCACTTAAACACCTAAATTCCAAAACACAGACATCACCAAGTACTGGTGAGGGTATGAGAAGTACTCATTCATTGCTGGAAGAATGTGGAATTGAGCAGCCAATTTGGAAGACAGTTTGGCAATTTCCTACAAAACCAAATACTCTTACCTCGCATCTGGCAATTTCCCTTCTAGGGGTGAATGTAAATGAGCTGAATCCATGTATCCACACAAAACTTGTACACAAATGATTATAGCAGCTTTATGCATAATTGCTCCAAATTGGGAGCAATCAAGATGTTTATCAGCAGGTGAATGAATAAAAAGTGTGCTTCATCCATACAAATGGAGTATTATGCAGAGACTTTTAAAGTAAGGCAGTAAGAAAAAGGCATGAAGAAACCTTAAATACATGTTTCTAAGTAAAGCAAAGGAGTCTGAAAGACTCCAGTATATACTTACCTTGAGTCAGCAATATGACCTTCTGGAGAAGGCAAAACTATACCAACAGTAAGAAGATTGGTGACTACCAGCTGTCGTGGGATGCCGAAAGAGTAGGAGGAGGGGGAATAGAAGAACTTCTATGGGACCTCAGTGGGAATCACCATGAAACTGTGTGAATATAAAACTGTTGCTACAATATCTATCTGTATAAAAGTTCCTGAGAGCTTACTGGGTTGAAAGTCTGGTTCCATTTGGGGGGGAAGGAGCATTAAAAAATTTCCCCAGAAGAGGAATGTTTAAAGTAAGTCTAGAGGAAGGTGTCACTAAATGTCATGCAGAAGATGGGTGAGAGCCCTCAGGGAGAAAGAAGTCACAGAAGCCAAGGTGTGCCCAGGGATGGTTTCTCTGAGAAATCAAGACTAATCTCAGATGACCAGAGAGTACAGGCATTTGAAGCAGGATAGGGCTGGGTAGGTCAGTTGCCCCAGCAGCCTTCAGGTGGTATGCCAAGGAGACTGGAGCTTCTAGACAAAAGGGCAGACACTCATGTAGGCATGAAGTAGCTGTGTGAGTATGTGAGACACAGGTAGCATCAAGGTGGCCAGACTGCAGCAGAGGTAGTGGAGGATGCAGAAACACAATAATCTATTTGCTCACCCAGAAGTGTAGAACTACTATATGGCCTTACCTTCTACAGTTACCAGCATTGTGCTGGA